CATCAACTGAGTCTAATTGTCTAAAACTGATACATAAACATATGCGCATACACACACAAGCACGAGAGCATGCGTCAATGGAAGGGAACACAAACTATGAGGAAGAGGATGTGCATCAAGTAAAGATGATGATTTACATGCGGTTACCGAAACTTACTTTGTTTTGAAGAAAAAATAATATGTGGAATACATATAAGCGTAAAACGATATGGATGCTCCGGACAGAAAACTGGTCCATTGCCTGACGCGACGATCCAATGGGATACGAATGTTGAAAAGCAAATGGGGCATGGGGGAAAGCATGGTGAAAATAGAACGAAACTCGATGTTGTTCAGTTAAAATAACGTTTTTGATATTTTGAAAATTGGTTATTCAAATTCGACCTGTTTATTGTTGTTAGTACCAATATTCCCTTATTTCATCATCATCATCATTGTACAGAGGAATGCAATGAAGTGAACTTCAGTGATCGACTTCAACATCATAATGCATACAAGGGAAGTAAGATAGTGTATAGGGATTCGATTCATTTTGGTCAACGAAGAGGGAGAGAGAACACAGTTTGACTGTGCATTCAGAGAAACTACGGAACACCTATACAATGAGAAAAAATTCAATTTGTTTTTCCAAGTTACACAAGTTTCAGCTCACAATAGACATTTTTCTGTTGCTAAGGCTGTTTGTTGTCTGGCATCTAATCCATTGGACCATTTCACGTGTTCTTTGTGTTGTTCGAACCGAAACGTTCAGCTCAAGTAGCGTTCTCATTTTCCAGGCTGTCACAGAAATAGTTTGTCGACCATTGATTCACTACGGATGGCAGCTCCCATGTCGAAGTACAAACTACGGATTTCTATGGCACCCCTTTTAAAATCCATTTGGGTGTGTGAAGTCCATGGGGTACTGGTGAAAATTCTATTTTTTTGACTTATTTTTGTTAAAACACCGGAGAATTTGAAGCAATTTCGTATTTCTGCTTTGGGTGCTGTCTAGATTCTCAAAACTGGTGATGATTCCGCATAGGAAAGTGGAGATAATCCGAGAATCTAGGGGGTGCAGAACTTTTGTTGCAGTGTATGATTAGACTACTAACCCCATATCGTACCATTGCGGTGACACTATATCTTGGAACGATCGGACGATTTAGACCCAAGTGAGCTCCTCCTCCACAGAATGAGTCACGAAAGACGAAAATTTACTCCAAAAAATGAAGGCGGAGAGAAGCAGATTATCAATCGAATAGAAACAAAGGTTTTTCTTTACAGCAGTTATCGCTCTTCACGGGACAGCTATTGACTTGCTGGCATGCTGGAAAGAACCTGAAGGTACATTCTCGTACACGGATTATTTGCCTCAATGGATGCATCCAGCGGAAAGCCAAAATTGAAAAGTTGATCGACGCACTGCGATTCGGTCAGTGAGTACAATCGATCCTCTATGACAGAGAGGGTCAGTGATTGAAGGAGAAACTCCCTAGCTTGTGCTTATATGCAAAATTGAATTTTTTGATGCAATCTCCCTTTAGGTGTAAGCGGCTACAAAATAAGCCGTACCTTAACACTTCAGATTCTTACGCGAGAGAAATAAAAACTTCAGTTTGATCAAACTGAATCGGAAAATATTACAAATTACTCTCGTCTATTTTTCAAACGTTATTCAAAACGTATGCATCAAGTAATTATCGGCTCCGAACCAAACCGAGCAGTACTGTAATAAATGTCGTTTTCACGTGGCTGATAGAACAAGAATAACCCGGATCATCAAGATCGCCCGTGTTGAGTGTAAGGTTTCAGGTGAGCACATGTTCAACTAAATCGTCTTTACGGTTTATGGAACAATATTCAGGGACGGAGATTCGGGCTACAATACATTTCAACCAAATGAAACAAAACCGGTGAGAACAACCAATCTGGGCACGCACACACACACATACACATATTGGGAGACACGCGGATTGGCTTACCATCGATAGTCTTCGGAGTTCAGCAAAAAATAGGTACCAACAGCGGACACGGATGACGTCACCGTGATGAGCAGTAATAGGACCAACAGGGTGAATCCGAAAACAAAGTATATTTTATACGCCCAGAAAGAGGTGAAGATGAAATAGCTGAAAACGTGAAAACGAAATGAGATTTACATCGAGTTCTTTTGGAGATCACAGTAAATGACGGATCACAAAGCATCATCATCACCGTACAATGATCGCTGCCAAACGGACAATGTTCACAAATCAAGTGATAAAGCACAAGATGCAGAAGGATTGGGCCTAATTGGAGGGAGGCAATGAAAGTGAACCTCTACGGTCAACACACAGTACACAATCTAAGTGTGCACACATACCTTTTCAAGCATTCTGACTTGATAAGAAATGACAACAAGAACGTCACTGCTGTCGGTTCGCTGTCATATCCTTGCAGAGTCTTTCGGACCTCAACCTAGAAGACGGGAGACACCGATTCTACCTAATCGCTTTGTGCATTTATTCATGCCTCGCTTCCACGCCATTTGTGGACCTCCACGCGGTTTCTTCCAACCTGGAGCCGCAACCGCGAATAAGGTGCGTTGCGGTAGACGTTGCCTCGGCATGCACAATACATGTCCTAACCGGCGAAGCCGACTAATCTGAATTCGGTGGGACAACGAATTCCCCATCGAATCGTTACCAAATACGCGACGCCTCACCTCAGAGTTGCTTACAAGCTCGCTCCATCCAACCCGCGCCAAACTACGTAAATATCGGCAGTCGAATACTTCAAAACGACAAATATCTTCCACACACAAATTTAGGGTCTCGCAACCATAGAGCAGAACTGACCGCAGAATGGAGCAGTATACGCGACCTTTCAGTTTCAACGAAACATCGCGTCTGCACCAAAGGTGTTTCAAGCCTGCGTAAGCTGCTCGAGCCTTGGAAATGCGGGCGGTTACTTCATTGGGTAAGCTGCCGTCATTTGAAACTCAACTAGGTAGGTGAAACATTCCACTACAGCTAATTCTCGACCATCAAGCATCAGCGCTGGCGTAGACGACACCCAGTCTTGTAGCATCACTATGCACTTTGAAGGTGCAAAGCGCATGCCGAAAGGGGATACAGACCTTGCTAGTCTGTCAAGAGCGCATTGCGCATCCCCCAAACACTCGAACAGGTAAACGATGTCGTCAGCGTATTTTAAATCGCACAGCTTTTCTCCAACTCCGCATTCAATACCTACGTTTTGGAGACCACTAAGTGCGTTCTCCAGTACTTCGTCTACGACGAAACTGAACAGGAATGGTGAAATGGGGCACCTTTGACGGACGAAAACACACAACTGCCATACTCGGAAACAATACTGAAAATGGGGTTGTGTAATTGTAGTACACCTGGTGCACCAAGTCACCTTCTAATGTGTGTTTCCACATGCTGCGTGTTTTCGTTGTTAGTCTCGCAATCATGACAATTTTGACTAACTGAGTGCGCGCGTGCGCGCATGTGTGTGTGTGCGCGCAGAGATTGATCAATTTCCACCTGACTCTTGGTATACTGTTGAAAAAAAGAACAGCAACCGAGATGCAGCTGAGATATGCAGTCGAAGATACAAGCATAGTTTGGACGTGTACCCCGTAGTATGAGTTAGTGTACGACTTATACTCACCGGAAACACGATGAATCGACGCGCACACAATACGGAGAAACGTTTGTTATTGACGTGTCCGGTCCCGATTAGGAATTCAATAAATCAAAACGCATTCATAGGGTATGCAAACGAGAGCTATTTGAGTAACGCTCACTTTCAAATAAAGGCTTTTCGTTGCTTCTCAAAACTACTTCAAAACATCCTAAACAAAGGACGGAAACACGGATGAGGCGAAGGTGAATACCGAAACTTTATCCAATAAAGAAATGCCTTTGTGTGATTTACCAGTTCACTTCAGTTCAGTTCTTACAACCATTAACCATGCACTTTCGGGCGTCGGTTTTCGTTGCTGTCTTTTGGTTGCCCTTTGGAATAAAACAGTAGAACAAGGATCAGAATTTTGAGAGTAAACTCAAGCGGAAGATAGAGAATTTATATAGACTGAATTTACAAGAATGATGAGTAGATGCATGAGTATCGCTGTTTGCGACACTTAGCCATCTCACTCAGTGTCTCTAACTATCGGTGATTATGATCTCGAGGTCTCCAGCCAGGGAGCCTA